TCTATTACATTACTACTACTACTGTTACTACTAATAAAACAGATCTCTGGGGGCTCCAAAAGTGCGTGGGCCCTTAGAATCGTCCTAACTTCCCCCCCCTTACCGGCGCCCCTGACTCTAACCCTATAGTAAGTACATGTAGCTAATTAATATTACTCAGCACTTATATGTATAATTACACTGTAACAAGAACACCTTAAAATAAAGTGTAACCAAAATCTCTTTCATGCAAAAAACAAACAAAAAACACGTGATTCTTATTTGTTCATACACTAAGGTAGTATTTGTTGTATTGCCTTTGATTTTTGATTATTAACAATATAAAAAATGTAAATATTAAATTAAATTGATATTGAATATATAAATTATCAAAACATTACAATGTTAAGTAAACATTTAGTAAATATAAAACATACTAAATAACAATATATAAAAAAAGTATTACTTTATATAAGCATGTAAATAATATATTAGCATATATTGTCAAAACCCAACTATAACAACAACAACAAAAAAAAGCTAATGAGAATCACCACTGAGAAATAAGGGAGCTACAAAAAACATCCAGATTCATTATGGTAATGAAAATTAGGGTGTAAAATGCTCTTAACTGTCTTGAAAATAAACGTCACAATGCAAATTATGTTAATGGACCTAAAATTAGGCAACATTTTCTTTATGCAAAATATGATTCAGCCAGACAAGCTTTTAACGCATTTCAAACCACTCTGTTGTCCTAATTTGAAACGGTGCCATCCTAAAATCAGTAGAAAGCAATCATACAGATGGTTCTGAAGGACAGGCAAAAACAAAACATGTGCAATTGTTGTCAGCGTGTCTGTGTTTGGCAGACCACGCACAGCCTCTCTCAAGGGTTTTCATCACATCTTTTACTTTGAGCCAAATCTGATGAGTATCAGCTCGGGTTTTGGCTTTAGCTCAGTGACATGCTGTGGAGAAACAAAAAAAAACACACTCTCTGCTTGAGCACTGAGCCACAAACACCCAATAAATATTTCCATCAAAAGCAGGGGCACTCCAAGTTTTCCTTGTAGCAAACAGCGATACAATATTTACATCGATCTGTGTCAGAACCGTGGCCATTTGTGAAGCAATATCGTACATGTCACTCGCCGAGACAGTCGGAGCGAAGCAGATGCCAAGTCTGGCTGTAAAAACACAACTAGCCGATCAATTTTAATCAGTGCGTGATGGAATCAATCTGCCACAGCGTACGGCTACAGAGAGGCAGGTTATGGCGAGACGGGGGGCGTTCGATTGCTCACGCGGCAGATGCTAGAGAACATTATTGCACGTTATTATTATTATTTCATAGACGTCATATCACACAGCAGACTGTGAATGACAGTGATCACGTGACAGAGGGATTTCTTGAAAACAGCAGATGTTTCCTTGGAGAGGCTGTGATGGTTTATCTTTTTCAGACCTAATGTGGCAAAATTGTGAGAAATTCCACAAAGTTTCATCTGCAGTTTCTGGAAGCTTCCACTGTTATTAGCTTCAAACATCCATTATGGTATATAATCAGATATTTTTTTAGACAAGTCTGACAGAAAAACAAGCCCTTTTTACCAGCTTGCTTTGACACTAAGGGTTTGCAAGCTACCGGGTTGCTAAAAATGAACACTTTAGAGTAAGAATGAATGAATTAGCCACATTTTCCCAGGTTAGAAACAATGAATATTTGAAAGACACTGAATATTTTGAGTTATGTCTATTGCTTTGGTAATCAGCTACTGCAAATAAACCTGCTCATAAAAATAAAAGCACACTGTGATTCATTGGTTACATTAGTCTGACATTTCTTGGCCAGAGAAAACTGAAAAAAATTTTCTTTGAGATCTCATGCATTTTTAGATATGAAAACTGACCATCAAACATTATTTTTTGTTCCCCCACATTTATGAGTTTTCCCAGATCAATTAGATAAAAATAATGCAAGATGCTGCCAACATGGAGTATTTTACATGGAGTGTTTTAGACTTGAGAAACGGGTGTCAAGTTGTCAGATGTGTCAGAAGACTGTTAGAACGCTGTCAAAACATTGCTCTGTTTGCTTTAGCATCCTGACACAGCAACACTTGCTCAACCAATGGTGTGAGCTCATCTGTTTACTCAGCCAATGGCAAACAGTGGGAAACCTGTTTGGAAACAGTAATTATTTCATGTGGAGTCTCTGCTGTGGTGCAGAAAATGCATACTACATGATGTCAGTTGGATAAATGGTAAATAAGATGATGATTTATGTTTTACTAACCTTACAAAGTAGCATTTTTAAATTAAATTCAGAAATGACATAACATAGAAACAATTGATCTTTTTTTTTAGTTGGACATAACCTGCAGTTCAGTCATTCCATTCGATTCAGTGAGCTCTGAATCGATTCATCTGACCAATTCAGACTCCTACATTTGATTCAAACTGATTTGATTCAACTGATCCATTAAAAAGAACTACACCAATCAAATCTGACAGCACATTGCGAATTTCAGGACATAAAATAATAAAATACCAAACCAAATACTAGATCTTGATCGTTTGCCAATATAGACTACAGTTTAAAAGTTTGAGGTCAGTAAGATTTTTTTTTTTTTTTTGAAAGAAATAATTCTTTCATTCAGCAAGGACACATTCAATTGATAAAAAGTTACAGCAGAGACATTTATCGTGTTAAAAAAAGATTTCTATTTCAAATAAATAATGTTCTTTTTAACTTTATGTTCATCATAGAATCCAAAAACATTTATTGTAGTTTCCACAAAAATATTAAGCAGCCAGCTGTGATAATAATGAAAAATGAGCTTCAAATCAGCATATTACATTTATTTCTGAAGGATTTCTGAAGGATGTTCTTTTTAACTTTATGTTCATCATAGAATCCAAAAACATTTATTGTAGTTTCCTGTGATAATAATGAAAAATGAGCTTCAAATCAGCATATTACATTTATTTCTGAAGGATTTCTGAAGTAATGATGTTGAAAAATCAGCTTTGATCACAGGAATAAATTACATATTACAGTATGCTCATTTAGTAACAGTTACTTTAAACGGCAATAATATTTCACAATATTACTGTTGTTGTTTTTTAAATAAATCAAATAAATGCAGACTTGGTGAGCATGAGAGATTTCTTTCAAAAATATTTAACAAATCTTGCCAATTTTTTTTAACGGCAGTGTATTTTCCTAAATAGCGCTGCAGAAAGGCACCTCATCAACATGCTGCTGCTGAAGAGGCCGATTTACAAGCAAGTGCAAGTCTTTAGCCGGTCAAATATACAAGTGTCTCTCCAGGCACGGCTGAGATTGTCTTTATTGAGTAGCTGAGCTGTAGGAGTACACGATCACCATTAGTAGCATGTTTACACTCCTCTGCTCTCTGCAGCATTAACCCTGTAAAGAGCTCCAGCTGAGAGGGAAAACGTTCCGGACACACCATCTGAGAGATGAGATACGGCTGCCCGCCATCTATCCGCCAGGATAGTGTTTGAATTCCCAGAGGCTAATTACCGGATTCCAAATCAATCCTGCTTTTTAAAGACATCCGCCACAGAAGCTGTCAGAACACAAGTGAGAATCTACTGGCCTGCTTTTGCGCTTTAATCATCTGGCAAGCTTCCAAATTTTTGGAAAAAGACCACATGCTCCAGTTGCAGTTTTCTTAAACCCTATTTGGATTGGACTAGTTTTCCCTGAGGAGGTTTCACAGACATACGTGATGATGCATCAATACAAAGATCCCAATCCCATCTGAATCAACAAATGACAGACGTCATATTTTAACAACTGTAACTCAAACGTTGTTTAGCAAAGTAATCTCGTCCGAATAGTGCTTTAGGCCATCTCCACACGTACATGAGTTTTTCCTTCTTCCGATTTAAAAAAAATCTCCGTCCACATGAAAACGCAAACGCATGCTATGAAGCACTGTCAAGAGCATGCCAAACCAACAGGTGGCGATATAATCTCAACCGTAAAGCCATGTTGGCCAATCAGAAGCCTGAAAAAGTTTCCAGTAGGCGGAGATAACAGCGCAGGCTCCGACGCTTTCGCTGTCTACACGATAACACTGCAACCGGAGTTTTTGAAAATCTTTACCCTGGCAGGCGTTTTCAAAAATGTTCGGTTTCAGTGAACTGGTGCTGCGTTTGCGTGTGGACGAACGGCCTTACCGTGTAGAAAAAGCTGCAGTTGTAAAAAATAACCGCGTTCGTGTGGACAGGGCCTTAATGCACGGTAAAAAAAAAAAAAGGCAGTAAAATTTACTGTCAAAAATAGCAGCGGCATGAAAAATACAGCAGTGACATTTTACGTTTTACGGACTGAAATTTACAGTAAAAAAAATAAATAATGATTAAAATAAAAAAAAATTTAAATAAGTAAATAAAATAGGATTATAATAAATAAATAGGATTAAATTAAATAAAAATTAGTTTAAATGAAATAAATAAAAATAGGATTAAAATAAAGAATAAAATAAAATAAATAAAATTGATTGTACTAACGTACTAATGCACATAACTGAAAAACTAAGAAGAAACAATTATTTAAATGAAAAACCATAAAATGTGAAGCGTCCATTCTGGATATGTCAATTTACATTTTTTACATTACAAAAATGTAATTTACAATTAAATTTTTTCAACGTTAACTATAGAATGACATAAAATGTAAAATACTGGTAAATGCACTATTTTTTTAATCTTAAAATGACATTAATGATCCCGTTAGATCTATTACAGTTTTTACAGTAAGGGAGCCAACTGGTTTTTACTGTAGCATTTTACAGTTTTTAACTGTTCAAATTAGAAAAATAATTTTATTTACAGTGTAAACCTGACATGTGCAAAAGCCAGCTGTGTTTAATACCTTCACTGTTGACGCAGCGGACCTGTGGAGTCTGTGTTCCCTCTCCACAGTCCATGTCTTCCTCTGGGATACACTCCTCTAGCTTGACCAGCTGCCAGCTAAAACAGCTGGGATCATCACACGGGATGGCCTCCACCAGATGAGGACAGTTCCCCTCGCCACCCGTGGGGTAATTAGTGATCGTACGTCGTCTGAACTTGAAACCTGCAAATAAACATGACACAAAAGGTCTATTAGTTGTCTCTATAACACCTTCTGTAAGTCACAGTTAAAAATGCCACTGGATTAGGACAAAATATCAGTGACATCACTTTTGTCATTTTTAATGACATTTTACCCAATTACTTTTAACCAACTTGTCTTGAGGTGATTTTTGGTGGATGTGTGACCTTTCGTTGAATTGATTTTTTTTAGAGTGGATTTTACACGACTCTCAAGAACATGTCCAATTCACATTCCGTCCAAAATGAAAGCAAAGAAATGGTTTTCATTAAAAGTAAATAAATAAACAAACACAACCTATTTTTAGGACCTTTTATGACTTCTTTTCATTACAATTAAGCAATTATAAAGCAATAAATGAAATTGTTTTTCATAAAAAAAAATCAAACCTATTTTTAGGACCTTTTCTGCACATTAGTAGGCTACTTTTTTACTACAATTAAGCAATTGTAAAACAACAACAAAAAATTTTTTTCATTAAAAATAGTCAAACCTATTTTTAGGATTTTTTTTGAACATTCTGACTTTTTTATTACAATTAGGCAATTGTAAAGCAATAAAATAAATTATTTTTCATTTAAAAAATGCAATCTAATTTTAGGACCTTTTTGTACATTCTGACTTTTTCACTACAATTAAGCAAATGTAAAGCAATAAAAATACAGTAGTGTCCAAAACAGTAGGCCTAATACACAAAAATAAAGTATTTATATAATACATTTGAAAATGCATATAATTATGAGGGCAAATGTGTTTAACTGTCATTAAAATAATGTAAAAATATCTTAATGGCATTAAAAATTGGCCAATTAGTTATAATATATAACAGTAGAGAAATATTAAGACATGTTTGAAACGCGATTTCAGCTGATATGCCGTAACGCAGCATCTTGGAGAAATTATTTAAGATAGCGGTTAAATCAAAAGGAAATATTCTATTCTGGCTGTAAAACAGCTCTGTGCCTCAGTAAAATATTGTGTCTCAGTATTTGACACTTCCTTTTCAGTGAATATATTATTGGTTTCAGCAATGTTTACCTTTCTTCACGACGCGTTCATCGCAATTCTCAAAGGTGCAGGGCCCCCAGGCGCCCCACGGGGACACTTCACACTCCACAGGGCACGGGATGTGACACAGCTGCGTGGTACTCGGAGTCGTTCCCTTGCAGAGCCGAACGTCTACGGGTTGTGATGCTACAACGCAAACACACGCATTAAAACACTGCGGCAAGACTCCCACATGAGCACCACACATGACGGACAATTAGCTTTATGTAACTGCAGGAAACAACAAATGGCAACATTAAACACGCTCTGAAGAATCCTGATTCCCTGTTGCATCACAGCAAAGGAAAAACTGGAGAAAACCGGAGATTTCAGCATAATTTGAATGCACATCCCCAACCCGTTGTGTTTGTTTATTAAATATTTGGACTAATTTGGTAAAGTTCCCAGTTATAAATAATCTAAAATACGACATATAATGAAATAAAATGACAAAAAATTAAATAAATTAAAATAATAAGCAAAATAATTTAAAAAATAAATAAATAAATTAGAAATTTATAAAAAATTATAAAATTACATTTATAAAATTAAGGCAAAATCATTTGTTTCATGTACTGGTCAATTTTGGAATTTTGGGAACTTTGGTTGTTGTTTTTTTCAGTAGAAAACATCCAAAATACATTTACATGCATTAAATACTTTTTTTTTTTTTGGCTTATTTTACTGCAATTTATCTGCCAATTTTATTTACAGTACTTATCTTTAAAGTTTGTTTTCTTAACAAATTATAAAAAAAATTTTTGTACAGAGCTTTCCAAAAAACATAGTCAAAATGTATTTTATTTTTGGCTATTGACAGTATTTTCTGATATATCGAGTTAAAAAAAACTCTTAATGCAATTGCACGTAATACAAAAAATGTTTGCAATGCTTAAAATGTAATTAAATGGGGAAGTATGGTGATATGTATAAGGGGTATAATAGGTACCCTATTCACCTGGAATGCAATGCAATGCAATGAAATGAAATTAAATGAAATGAAACAAAAAATTGTGATCTCTATGAATTACTTAAAAATGATTAAACAAAATGAAACAAACAAACAAACATAAATAAATAAAGTCCTGTCAAAGGAATAGTCCTCAGATGAGTGTAGAAAATGCCTATGAAAAAGTCTATGGATCCCGTCTGGGCCCAGCATGTGTGAAACTGAGATCTTTTTTTCCCTGGAACTATAAAATACAAATTCGGAAACACAAACAAAAGCAGTGCATTAATGTTTTAACACAGGATTTTGCTGTCGGCTTGATGGGTGACAGGTGACATGACTGCTGCGTTTGTATCAAAGCGAGGTAAACTCTACTCGTGGAGCTCTCCATACTGATATGTGGTGAGTTCTGCTCTCTAGAGACTTCCAAAACAAAATGCTCTCCACATGCACAGATTGTCAACTAAAAAGTATGAGAAGACTAAGACACAGACCTTTAAAAAAAAAAATGTGATTGAACTCTGGAAATGGGCATGGGGAATGACAGTTCACCTCGTTCAACCCTTCTGGCGCCGCATGTTCCCCAAATTAATGGAGAGACAGATTTCAGTGTAATGCACCATCATCTAAGTTAACATAACACAGCACAGGTTGTCCTTGTTTACGTGCCAGATGGTCTAGACCTTCTGTGCATACTTTCTGTCTAATCAAAGTTTGCGGTCTGTGCCTGCTTTGACAAACCCAGGTGGACAGGCTTAGCTTCAAGCATGAGAATGATTTGGTGCTCGGTAGCTGCTTGAAAACAGATGAGAAACCTAAGGTGGCCCTGATATTTATTAATATACTCGCTTAATATTTTTGCCAAGGATGAATAGAAAGTTTTAAAGAAAAGCATTTATTTGAAAATGTCTCTACCGTCACATTTGATCAGTTGTATACAGTATACTTATCGATTTGCACCATGTTATAGAGTCCATGCAATAAAAGGCAGAAGGGTCTAGTTTAAAAGATCCAAATAAACCAAATACAAATAAAATGCTTCTTTATTTCTTTTGAGGACGAGTGTACAGTAAGGAGCTGTCAGAATGACTGTCATTGTCAATCAATCTCTGTCAGTTGTCTGGTGCCCAGAGGAGAGTGTTGACTAAAGCACAGAGTGTTGCATCAGTATGTACTCTTGTAATGAGCTCTCCATGGACACAAACGCTTACAAAAATACAGAGAGTAAACAGACTAAGCAAACAAAATATGTAAACATGCTTTAGGCAAAGAGATTTGATCAAACAAAGACCATTATGTCAGATGCAAAAAGGAAAGAGAATAAAATAAAAACATGACAAAATTCAATTTAATAATTTAATACAATATAACATAAATATAATATAAAATATAATTATTAAAATACAATTAAAATGATTAAATTAAATATAAAATAAAAATAATAAAATGAAATGAAATGAAATAAAATAAAATAAAGATATCAAATAAAGTTCTAGAATTATAAATATAGTATATATTAATAATAAAAATAATAAATGTAATAATACATAATTAAATTATTAAAAATAAAATAAAATAACAGTTTCTCTTTCAAAGCAATGTTGGTGTATTTACATTGAGTTGAAAAATACCCCAAATATTCCTTTTAAGGGGTTAAACATCTTACCTGAGATCTCATAGCTGATAGACAGGAGGGGAGGGACACTAGGCATCTGGCCGTTTGAAGACTGACCTTCTACAAAGCACACAAACTACTGCTAATAAACATCATTCAAGGGAAAATACAATTACAATCACTATTAACTCTATTCTGTGACTACTTCCACAATATTACAGCTTTAAGGGGGTAACGCAGGGCATCTACTATCTTGAGCTGTGACGTCAAAAGCAGCAGGCAAGGGAAAATATAACCATTCAACCTTTAAAGAGTCCTTCAGAAAATACAATACAATGATATCCATTTAATCACAACGCACAGGCACTTTTGATATAAAATCATTTTCTGTCATTCTGATGGACTGGGTTGTAAATTTCCCATCATGTTCTACTCTTTCCTGTCAGTAAAATATGAAAAACTCTTGGTTCTCTCCTTATATTCTTACTCACACCTCTCGCAGTCTACTTTCACATTTTATTTTCTCAATTTAGTTCACCCAATGCAATAGGCCAGGCAACTTATTTCTATATCTGTCAAAACAACACAAAGCATTTTGAATTATCTGTCAATGTTTTTTACAATTTGGTAAGTGACAGAAAAATGTTCAGTTAATGCAACCTCTGGTTATGTCATTTACCAGCACAGCCCTCTACGAACACCTTGGCAATTGAATCGCCATTGGCTAGCAATGTAGAGGGTTGCAGAAGGGCCAAACTGCTCATGATAACCAGCCAAACCGATTGGTTTGTAATGCCATAAATGAATCACATCTGTCACATTCTGTCCTCCTATAAAGCAGTCATTTTTTTTCATAGTAGACTCCAAATATAGCTCTGTCCAATCGAATGTCACGGCAGTTTATTCAGCGTACATCGCCTCCATTGACTTTCATTCAGACAGTAATGTGATAATGTGAGGTATGAGCTGGTTAGCTTTTACTTGCGCCCAGATCTCAGCCAGTCAAAACCTGCAGGATTCCTCCTACACTCTCAAAATCAAGCTTCTTCAATGGATTTTTGCAGCACTTCAGTAAAGAACTCTCTTCTCATCAAGAATCATTTTCATTTTCTGCATCATATGGAACTTAAGGATTCTCATATGGCATTACATTAAACTTAAAGATTCTCTTACAGCATCATAAGGGCTTTGAAATTATTATATTATGGAATCTAATGGAACTTATAAAGATTCATTTACGGCATCATAAGGAATTTACAATGACTCTCCTATAGAATAAATAAAAAAAAATAAAAAAAATCTTAAAGGCAGAGTAAGTGATTTCTGGTAGCCAATGTTGATACGAATCAGTTTTCTAAAGTTTTTTGAAAAATCACTTACTCTGCCTTTAAGGCATCATTTGAAGCTTATATAAAGTGTCTTATGGAATCAAATGGAACTCAAAGATTATGGAGTCATGAAATTTACAGTAAAAAGAATTATTTATAATATTAAACTGATGTGGAGCCAAATTTAACTTATAGATTCACTAACGGAATTATATGAAACTTACAAAGCTTCTCTTGTGGATTCAAATGGAACATATGAAAATTCTATTAGGGAATCAAATGGAATTTATAAAGATTCGCTCATGACTTCATATGAAACTTATATTGTCCTATGGAATCAAATGGAAATTATAAAGATTTGCTTTTGACATCATATGAAACTTTTACAGAGTCTTTTATGAAAATCATATGGAACTCTTTTAGAATCAAATAGAAATGGCACAGATTCACTTATGGCATCATATGAAACTAATAAAGATTCACTTATGGAGTCATGAAATTTACAGTATAAAGATTCTGTTATGGAACTTGATTCTCTTACAGAACCAAATGGAACCTATAAAGATTCAAATGTGACATCATATTAAACTTATAATATTTATAATATTAAACTTATATGGCGCCAAATTGAACTTAAACATTCACTTATGGAATCATATGGAACTTATGAAGATCCTCTTATGGAATCAAATGGAATTTATATTTATATAAGAATTTATATAAAGATTCTCTTATTAATTCATATGAAACTTATATTCTCTTATGGAATCAAATGGAAATGATAAAGAGTCTTTTATGCAATCATATAGAACTTACAAAAATTCTCTTTTAGAATCAAAGAGAATTTACAAAGATTTACTTATGGCATCATATGAAACTTATAAAGATTCTCTTATGAAATCAAATGGAAATGATAAGGATTTTCCTATGGCTTTATAGGAAACCTATAAAGATTATTTTTTGGAACAAATGGAACATTAAGATTTTCTTACAGCATCATATTAAATGTTTAAAGGTTCCTTTATGGAATCAAATTGGAAGTTCTCCTATGTCATCAAATCCTTTTGGAAACACTTGGTTTTAAAACCAGTGAAGCCACCTGTGGGAAATATTGTTCTGTTTGTGCTGTGAGTGCAGTGTTGTGTTCTTAGACGGAAATGTAAATGAGCATCACTTCCAGATAGATTTGATGAAGGTTTCATCACATCAAAGAATCTTGAAGCTGACAACATCCTCCCAGGGTGAGAACATCACGACTCCCATCAGTTGACTAACGCTCCAGCACATTTTCTCTTTAACTTTCTGCACTGTCTGCGTTCATGTATCTGCTGTCGGCAGAGCAGATTACCCCCCAGTGAAGCGAGGCGTCTCCTGCACCGCGCTGATAAGGACACAGATTTCCCAGCATACGCAGCTCCACCAGTGGCCTGTTCTAATAGCGCTTCTTTAACTGGAGCTTTTCACGCAGTCAGCGCTCATCTGCTCTAATGTACGGAGACATGTGCATTACGATAAGTTTCAATGTGCTCGCCTTACAGTTCTGAGCATCAAAAGAGCGAGCAGGGGGGAGAAAGATTAAAAAAAGGGTATTTTCCATGAAGACGGGTGGGCCAGATGTTGTGTGTGTGTGTGTGTGGAGCATGCAAAGAAATGCTGATGCAATATATACAGTAGAGTAAGAGATTTACACACACATGCATGTGGGTGGTGGACAGAGAAAGCAAGGAAAAAGGAGAAGAATGATGGATAGATCCATGTATTCTAGGATTTACATTGTTCTGAGAGGTACAAAAAATGTTTGCAAAGCAACATATAAATCACAAAATGTCATTTTATTATAATAGATACTTTGCAATAAATAAATAATTGATTCAATGTTTTTTCTTATAATAAACTGTTTTCAATTTCAGCATCATATGGAACTCAATGACTCTTCAATGGCATTATATTAAACTTAAGGTTTCTCTTATGGAGTCCTATGAAACTTATAAAGATTTGATTATGGCATTTTATATAAGTAGGTGGGTAGGTACACTGTTGCATAGATGGATGAATAAGTGAATTGGTGAATGGATAGAAAGGTAGCTAAGTAGTAGTAGTGGATGGGTAGATAAGTAGGTGGGTAGGTACGCTGTTGGATAGATGGATGAATAAGTGAACTGGTGAATGGATAGAAAGGTAGTTAAGTAGTAGGATGGATGGATGGATGGATAGGTAGGAAGATTCGTAGGTGAATAGGTAGGTTGTTGGATAGATGAATAAGTGAATTGGTGAATGAATAGGAAGGTAGTAGATAAGTAGGTGGATAGGTAGGCTGGTGGATAGATGGATGGCTGGATGGATAACAGGTAGGTGGATGAATTGATGGATGAATAGGTATGTAGATTTATAGGTGGGTAGGTTGTTGGATAGATGGATGGATGAATGAATGAGTGAATTGGTGAATGGATAGGAAGGTAGATAAGTAGGTGGATAGGTAGGCTGGTGGATGGATGGATGGATGTAAAATAGGTAGGTGCATGGGTGGATGGATAGATCTCTTAAACCTTAAGACACATTTGAATACTGGGGTCTTTTATAGTCTGAAAAGACTTCAGAATCTCCATTCAACCTCCATTTAATCTTATTTCTGTCTTGGAAAAAAACAGCGATATTAAAGAGATGTCATTTTTGATTTCTCTTTCCCACTTTCGCTATAGTGCGAAACAGAATTGCAAAAATCCATTATCTTCTCGAACTGCATGTTCATAGTATGTGGGAGACTCAGAAAGCATTGTGTGGCCTGTGACGGCGTGCCAGTGCGGGCCATCTGTGAGAGAACGAGATTAGAGCAGCGTCACCGAGCTCTTAAGATCACTTCCATTTGTCAGTGCATCTCTCTTGGCTCGGGAGCACAGAGCAGCCCGATCCGTCTCACCCCGTCTCCATATGCTCATGTGCTGACTCTCACTGGCACCACCGCTCACGCAGAGCAGGGGTCAAGCGGCTCCCGGCAGGGCCTCCCACTCCACGCCGGCAATTCTCCATGAAGAGCAGAAAGCACTACAGTTCGTCATGCTGAGACGTGACTTCTGGGTCTTTTTAGAGCTTGTTTCATGTACATGCCCGCAGGATTGGAAAATCCCAAATGAGATCTCGTTAACATCTCAATTGCTTCTCCTTGACAACAGAAGATTAAATTGATCGCGAATTAGCTTAGAGTGTTTCCCAGTTACACAGTTCTCCTGCTGCATGTGTCTCTTCCAGAGATTCAGAGGAGATCTCGACAATGTCTCCAACTCTGCTCAGATTTGCCAAGATAACAATAAGAGATTTCAATATGAATTAAAATGCTATCAGACCAAAAATGGTCCGAGCTTCTATTCACATTCATTTTCAACCTATGCTGGAAAAATTTAGCAATTCTGCAGCAGTATTATTTTAGCATCACTGAAATACTATAGTTTTTAATTTCAGTAATTTTGTTGTGTGTTTTGTCATTTTGCTTACATATTTTTTTTATTATTATTTTTATTAAAGGGGTCCTATTATGCTTTTTCCCTTTTTGAATTTTAGTCAGTGTGTAGTGTGTATGTTTGGGCATAAAAAAGATCTTCAAACTTACAAATCTCAAAGTCCACTCCAAAGGGAGATATTTCGTTTTTAAAAAATCCCTTTTCAAGAACTACAACGAACGGCTCGTTTGGACTACAGCGTTTGTTTTCCGGGTTTTGTGATATCACAAAGCGGCCCATTAGAATATCATTAAAATAATCCCCGCCTGCGGAAATTCGAATGGTTGGGGGGTGGGGAGGGGCGAGGTTATGGTTAGAACGCTTGGTTGAGTGAGCGCATCAGAAGAGCTGCTGTGCTGTAGCGTCACATTTTCGGCATGTCTAGAACAATTCTTACAAGTAGGCAATATTGACGCCACCCTTAATTAAACAGAGCAGACGGAACTTGCTGCTTTGGCAAGGGGCGGGGCAGTACTGAAACACCGTCTAAGCTGTTCGCCAATCACAACGCACTGGGACATCTAACCAATCACATCACATTTCGTTTTTCGGAAGGCGGGCGTTCATCAAACCCGGAACTAATCGAGCCATTTGTGCCAGACTGGGGAGAAAGGTATTGTAATAATGTAAATTATGTAAAAAATAATGCGTTTTTCGAACCACCAAGCATGAGAGTATGTTCTAGTACACCCCCAAAACAAATTCAAGACATTGTAAAAGAGCATAATAGGACCCCTTTAATGTTTTAGTTGTTCTTCAAGTGAAAATAAATTAAAGAAAAAATGAAAAAGAAAAAGAAATGTTGCCTTGGCAATTTAATTTAATTTCATCATTTTTATTAGTTATCATTTTAGTTAACATTTATTTTTTTTAAGTTAATGTTAACATAAAATTATGGTTTTATTTTTAGTCAACTATAATAATCTACAGAATGATATGTTGCTTTTTGCTCTGAATGGCCCCAGAAAGTATGTTCAGTTTTATCTGAAACAGATTAACTTGAATCTGGCAATGTGTATTATGTTGGTTGTTGCACATAATTCAACAGTTCAGAAATTAAATGTTGAGTTTGTTGCGCTAAATGTTTAATGCACTATCGCTTTTGAAAATAATGTACATATGACAACATATCAGAGATTTAAAAAAATGCATTTTCTGAAGCAACCGTGCCATCTTATCTTGTTTCTACACATCTTTGAGCTCTTTTATCATGGCTCATGTTCAACAGACTTGTACCACATTGCTAGTGCAATGCTGTATTTTTTAAAATCATGCATAAATCATGCACTATGGTAAAGTGTTTTGAGGTCATAACATAGTTTTGTGCAAGGAGCCAAGCAAAAGTAAGTCTTCATTAATTGGTAATCTGCCCTGCAATCATAATTTGTGTGAAAAGGAACAAAAGTTGTTGGTGTTTTACTGTCTCTCGAGTTCATTTCAGCTGGAAACTGCAGTGAACTGTATGTAGAGGTATGTTTTGGGAGTTCTGAAAAATGTACGTAGAGGCACGATTTTCCAGTGTGCCTAGGTTGTTCATTTTATTGCTCTGTACTTTTACTGTATGTCAACAATTGTTTCATTTGTTTCTACTCTGAAACTTCTGAAACTGAAACTTCAATGACAGGCTTACTAGGAACCACATTATATCATTTGAGTTACGAAAGAGCAACTTCTGAGCAACAATGTTTCCTCTGGGTTGACACATAATGAGATATGACAAGATGACATCAATTTGTTGGAGTACCTCTCATAATATCATCACTCCAATGATACGATGCATTTTCACACACAAAACCTTGAAAATGGAAACCTTTGATCCCAAACAGAGATACGACTGGCTGTCATGTCTAAATAAGAAAGTGTTATATCTGCAACTCAAAAGCACTCACTCAAACTGACTGTATGAAATCATGCATACAGATATCATAGAGCACAACAAAAGGGATTTTTTTTATAGTCTGACCCTGTCGAGCATTTCTGTGGTACTTACGCAGCGCAGGGCAGCACCCCGTCCCCTTCAGGTTCACAGGCCTGGCTCTCCTCCAGCTGGGGACACTCGGACCCTCCTCTGGTAGGAAGCCGTATCAGCTGTCTGCTGCGGGAGAGTGAGCCCTGAGGAACACTGGGGTCCGAGCAGGTCTTTGAGCAGGAGCCCCACGAGCTCCATTCACTGACCACACAGTCTTTGGGCATCAGGCAGGACTGGTACGTCTCTGGCAGACTCCAGTGGGGACACTGGCTGATACAGGACAGATGAATAGAAGGACTGGTCAGTCAACATGACAATATAATGATTTTACAGTTATCAAGAAGTTGTTGTTTAGTTTCAGTTGAAGTATTAAAATAACTAAAACTAAATAAACAACCTAAAAACTACAATTTAATAAAAACTACAGACATTTTTAAAAAAAAGACACACAAAACTTACTAAAACTTTGACCAAAATTAAAATGAAAACAGAAAATATAAAAATAAAATATTTTAAAATAAAAGTTCTATAACAGTATATCAATGATATTAAAAAAACAACGAAATGCTGAAAAATGAAATATTTGTTTCTTAGAGTAGAAATATTTTTATGAGAGTGTTATACAAGAGTTATACCAAATTAAATGACAAACATAAATATTATAATATACAAATATGTTTTTTAATTCATACGATATTTTAAAGTAGATTTTTGCAATTTATTTTTTTGTAAACAAATAATTACAAAATTCGATAAAATTAAATAAATATGACCAATACTTATTTTTATTTTCATCATATTTATTTATTAGAACATTGTGTCTGGGCAAACATCCATTTTATTAAAACAAAAAAAAACAAAAACAAAACAAAACAAAACAAAACAAAACATCATAAAAATTCCAGGGGCTCAACTAACAAATAAAAAGCTGTGAACCCCTGATTCCATCACATTACAGTATCACCGCAGTATTTTGTCTTTTAATACTTTAATCACATGCTTTTGGTAACAAACTCAAATCGCAGCTGAACAGCTTTTGTAATTGTTTCAGTGGCCGGTAACTTAATGCTGAGCAGTGAGAATGCAGCAATTTCTCTTAGTCTCTTATTTTCTCTGTAGGCAATGCAGCTGACGAGCTATTACAGCTAATTACAGGCTGCTTCCTTTCCAGCGTAGCTTCATTTAGCAACCGTTCATTTAGGTGCCGCGGCTGCCAAACTCACCTCAGGGCAGCACGGACTCTTAAACACATAAACTTCAAAGCTGCCACTGTTTTCCACCCACTTTAAACCCAGATTAAGATGTCTCGAAACCATTTAAAAATCTGGCAACATAATGACACCATATTGCAGCACAATAACTCTTCCTGAGGTCTAAAAACGATAGTAGCCGTTGGTAAACTGTATTTGGCAGAAATAGAGAGCATGCAGTCTGTCGCTGGAATAGCGATTGTGTGTGCTATAAAATAAATGGGGCAATTATCAAGATTGTGACAAGGGCTGGGGCAAAATTAAATTAATTAATTAACCAACCCAAGGAAAAAAGATAAAAAGAAGTTACAAAATGGTCACCTTAAAAGTACAAATTAGTACCAATTGAAAGGATATTGAGCCATTGACAGTTTTGTATTTTTTTTTCCCTCAGAGTGTTCATTTATATTCACCAGTGTAACTAGGCATGCCTGAAATCGATAGCAATATTTTTCAAAATATATTTTAAATACTTAAAAAATATATTTACATACAATATTTAAAAAAATATATTTAATATATTTTTTTTTAATTATATACAAAATTTAAATATATTTTACGAACATTTTTAAAACATTTTTAAAAAGTATTTAAAATTAAATTTTAAAATAGATTTTTTAAATACATTTATATTTAAAAATGTTTTGTTGTAATATAAGAAAAACAGAGATGTCTGATCTGAGAATTTTTTTTATGGATTTTTAAAATTGAATTTATTATTTTTTTATTAATTGATTTATGATCATTAATTATGGTGATATTAATAAAACATAACAGTGATGTTTATTAATAAATTAAAATAATAAATATGAATTATATAAATAAATATTAATATTAACATTTCAGGGGTCCTATTATGCTCTTTTACAAAGTCTTGAGGGGTGTACTAGAACAGGCTCTCATACTAGGTTGGTCGAAAAACACATTATTTTTCACATATTTTACATTATTACAACACCTCCCTCCCCAGTCTGGCATGAACGGCTCGAATAGTTCCTGTATCAAATGAAGGCCCGCCTTGTTAGGACCCACACAGACCACAGGGTGAGCACCCCCTGCTGGCCTCACTAACACCTCTTCCAGCAGCAACCTAGTTTTCCCAGGAGGTCTCCCATCCAGGTACTGACCAGACTCAACCCTGCTTAGCTTCAGTGGGTAACCAGTCTTGGGCTGCAGGGTGATATGGCTGTGGCATATTTATGGTATTTATTAAACGACAAATATCAATTTTTGACAATTGGAACTGATTAACGGAAATAAATCACACATATCAACTATCAACGCCATGTTTGCTAAAGAAGTTTAAATTAAACATGAAAAAAGTTTCCATAACTTCCATAATGTGATGTATATAACAGGATATTCAACAAGAAAAGAAATTTAGGGCGGATTTGACTTTTCCTGAGTGTCAAATTGGTTTCAAGCACTGTTATTCTGCTGAAATATGCTTTGCTGTGCCTCAAACTTCCAAATATTACTAACATGCATTTTTTTTATGCACTGTGTTGCACATTTTTGGTGAGTTGTTATTTACAGCTGCTTGATGGAATGAGGACACCATCATTTCCATTTAAATGAGAATGATGTTTCTCCTTTAATGTAAGAATAACTCAATTGTAGCAATTGAGGAGAGCCTCGCTGCGGCAACAGGAGCATTATGAAGAAGTCCATCAAATCCTAAATAAAGTTAGCAGGAAATACTCAATTAAACAATGCTATTGTATGCATAACACTGAGCAAAGGTATGTGATTTACAGTCTTTGGCTTTCGAGAGCTTGTGTAAAGCCACAAACACAAAGTACTAGCAACAGATGAGATGTCTGGCGAAATATTACACTAAGTACTGCTGGGTTTACTATACTGACAAAAGCAAAGTAATGAAACAGAATAAGAATGGTGTGAACTGTTTGTTTGTGATGGTCTACTGGCTGATCACAGAAAAAGTGTGTTATTTTTCACTTTCTTGAAGAAACAAAACAGCTATGAATATTTCAGGAGCAAAGAGAAACAAGTTAAAGATTAATATTTATTCTCCTGGAGGTATGATGGTTGTTTTTGAAATTCCATACATGACATATATACATTACCGTTCAAAAGTTTGGGGTCAGTAAGATTTTTTTTTTAAGACATTAATAATTTTATTTTGCAAGCATGCATTAAATTGTAAAAAAAAGTTATGTTTATAATGTTACAAAAAAATTTAAATAAACGGTGTTCTTTTAAACTTTCTATTCATCAAAGAATCCAAAAAATAAAATATCATGGTTTCCCCAAAAATAGCAAGCAGCACAACTGTTTTCAACATTGATAATAATCAGAAATGTTTCTTGAGCAGCATACAGTATTAGAATAATTTCTGAAGGATCATGTGACACTGAAGACAAATCTGCTTTGAATCACAGAAATAAAGTACATTTTACAATATATTCAAATAGAAAACATCTAATTTAAATGATAATATTAAATGTTTTTACTTCATTTTTAATAAAATAAACACACCCTTGATGAGCATAAATGACTTCAAAAATATGTTTCAATATGTTTTGAATGGTGTATTTGACTTTGTGTATTATATGTGACTTTGCTGGATTGCTTTAACCTTGATGTTGGCTATTGAACTGTTTCCATAAACTTAACTTTAGCTGCAGATTCCTCAGGCTGAAACGCTCTGAATGTTTTCCTTTCAACTCTTCCCATGTTCCTGAGCTCGAACGGATATCAAAGGCCAAACACTGTACGCCTGAGATACACAGACTATAAGACTGCGCCAAAACTTTTTAAATAACTACAAAACTCTTGAACATTTAATACTCGGTGGAAAGTGCTGGCACAGATTCCTGCCGTGTCACACAATCTGCTGCTGGGGAATATACAGTTGTCATTTCTACTGTTGAAAATAGACATCAAGCGTGGGAGTGCTTTGACAGCACAGCGGAGACCCAGACGAGTCACGCAGGCATCATCCTCTGACTGTCAGCGGCTGACGGAGTGCAGAAATACGCCGGGATCCCTAGTTTTCACACTCATTTAACCGCTATTAGCCTGACAACCATTAGTGCTACAACAAAAGAGATGCGGCTCAGGAGAAACTAATGCATAATAGCTTTTAACACATAAACATAAAAATGACCGGGTTTTTTTAATATTAACAGACATACTGCAGATTGAGAAAGCCTCAAGTATCATATAAACATATTTAAGTTAAAACTGCTCATCCTTAGTATGACAAACTTTTATGGGTAATATTTTACAAGTAATATCCTTCTTATACTTTGAATATGTGAGTGTGCATATCAAATAATCTTGAATTAATTATAATTTCTAAAAATCTATTAAAAATAAAAAGGTAAAAATATTTGGGGAGTTGCAATTAATAATAATAATCAATAAAGATTGTTAATAATTAATTAATTAATTAATATTGACTTAGTTATATGTATTATTTATAAATATCACATTTTTGTAGAGTTGCACCACAAGATATTTTACAACCTGAACTAATGAAAAGAAAACATAAAAATTCATTTTAATAAATCCAATATGACAAACATACTCATCATAGAAGAGATGTATCCAAGTCATTGCACAAATTGCATTTTTAATGCATTTTTAAATAAATGAATATACATGTTAATTATTATTAATATAATTGATGAAATGTATTATTATTAATGTAATGATATTTATTAATTCAAAGACTCTTTACGTTTTGGGGAGTCGCACCACATGACATTTTACATCCAAAACTAACAAAAAGGGAAAAAATATAAAAATTTATATTAATAATTCTAACATGGAATCTCATCATAGAAGAGGTGTATCCTATTGTACAAATTGCAATTTTTAAATAAATGAGTATGAATGTTGATTCATTATAATTAATATTAATAATATATAACAGTGATTATAATAATAAATTACTAAATGTTAATATTAACATAGCAGCGTTTATTAGTTTATAAACATCATTAACTTTTGAGGAGTTGCACCATGAAACACTTTAAAACCTGAACTACTCAAAGGAAAATATCAAAATGAATATTAGTAATTCTGACATGAAAAACATGCTCATCACAGAAGATGTGTATCCAAGTCATTGTACAAATTGCCATTTTAAATATATTTTAATAAATTAATATTAATGTTAATTAATTATAATTCATATTAATAATAAATAACAGTGATTACTAATAATGAATTAATAACTATTAATATTAACATAGCAGCATTTATTAATTTATAAATATCATTAACGTTTGGGGAGTTGAAACACGTTAAAACCTGAACTACTAAAAAGAAAATATGAAATGAATATTAATAATTCAGAAATGAAAAACATGCTCATCATAGAAGAGGTGTATCCAAGTTATTGTACGTTTATATTACATTATATTTTCAAGTATTTTTGAATAAAATAATATTAATGCTAATCAATTGTTTAATTATTAATTATTATTACCTTCAAAATTGATTCACAGGTTCTTATTTATTATGTTTTTTTTTTTCCCGGGTGTCACACTACAATATAACATGAATATCAGAAAATATAAAAAGTAATAAAAAAAATTTAAAAACACGCATCCAAATCACTGTACATATTGCACAGTAAAGTATTTAACAAATGAATAAATAGGGCAAAAAAATTATCTAGTCGTTGTTAAGTTAACTGCGTTCACTGTTTAACTCTTGTTTAAGATAAAACGTTGCACTTTCCAGTGGGCAAAAAATCCAGAATCCAGGTTTGTGAAAATCAGTTACTTGGTAATACAGTACACTGAACAGATCAATATTCCACCCCTCACAACCTCATTATTGTCAATAATTTAAGTCAAATGAATATGGCTCTAATGGGAAAAGTCACTAACCTGAGAGACACCGTGCTTCCGTTTCGATGCACACACACTACTTGCCGAGACTGGTAGCCTATTTCCATATTCCAGAGGTCGTCCTCTAGTCGATTCAGCCTGTTGCGGTTCCTTTTGCTCTTGATGAGCTCGCGCATCTCCGGGTCTCGGTTCCCTTTCCTCTCTTTGCCTTTCCGCCGGCGGGCTTGGCGGGCGGTGCGTGAGGGGGCGGCAGAGGAGGTCGGAGGTGATGCTAAAAAAGGCAGCTTGCACTCGCTCCATCCGCCCACTTTCAGACTGAACACCGTCTCTCTGCCCTCGCAGGCCCTCGGCGCGCACGTCTGGAACTCCGTCAGATTGGGGCAAGGAAGCCCACCGAACAGCGGCGGCTCCACGACGGAGCGGACGCGGTTCTGCAGGCCCAGCCCGCAGGTCTTGGAGCACGTGGTCCATGGGGTGAACTCGGTCACCACACAGTCTTGAGGGCAAGGAATTAAACAGGCCTGTTCCTGCCGGGGTTTGGGCTCAAAGTACTCACAGATGGCGTGGTCCGCAGTCGAGCCGTCCGCCTTGAGCACACAGTTCACCTCCCGCGTCTGGATGCCCTCTTCGCCCTGCAAGCAAATGCCCGTGCGGCCAGTGCGCAGCGATATGGGAACGCACTGGTTCCACGTGCCCAGCCGCCAGTCGTACAGGTCCTTGTGCCAGTCGCAGACACGGAAGCAGCTCTGTTGGTTGGCCGGCCGTGTGGACTGAAGGCAGTTGGTGTGAAGGGTGGTCCAGCCTTCCACATGAGCGCACCACACCGCCCGACTCTGACTGCCTCCTGGACCGCACTCGCTGCCCATACATCTGCCCCACGGACCTGGGAAAAACACACCACTTAGTGCAAAGTCCCTGAGGAAATGCTACATAATGATGCTGTCTAATAAGATTATTTTAGAAGTTAATGCCATAATGCACTGTGAAGCTTATTTTAGATAGATAGATAGATAGATAGAAAGAATAAAAAACAGGAATATTGTGAAATATTATTATAATTATGTAATTTAAAATAACAGTTTTCTATTTGAATATTTTTTTAAATGTAATTTATTCCTGTGATCAAAGCTGAATTTTCAGCATCATTACTCCAGTCTTCAGTGTCACATGATCCTTCAGAAATCATTCTAATATGCTGAATTGCTGCTCAAGAAACATTTCTTATTATTATCAATGTTGAAAACAGTTGTCCTGCTATAGATTTTTTTGTGGAAATCATTATACTTCTTCAAAAGAACAACATTTATTTAAAATATTTTTTTTTTGCAGCAGCATTATAAATTACTTTACTGTCACTTTTCATCAATTTAATGCATCCTTGCTGAGAATAAAAGTATGAATTTCTTTAAAGCTAATTTTACTGACCTCTATGGAAGCTTGTTTATGCCACAATGAAAAAAAAGGTAATTGTGACTTTACAACTCACAATTCTGAGTTTTTCCTCACAACTTCTCGAGTTTACATCTCTTAATTCTGACTCTTTTTGAAATAAACTCACAATTCTAAGATAAAATGTTGCAATTAGCTTATTTATTTATACATACATAAAATTAAAGATTTAAATTGAAATAAATAAATAATTGTAATATTTACGAAAATTAAAATGACAAATGTTTTTATACACAATATTTGTGTGTGCTATACTTTTGAAGCTAATTAAACTGCAAGATGCAAACTCTTTTGAGAAGCGCTATTTGTGAGTTTCTGCCTATGTGTGACGTTCCAAGAATGACTCTTATGAGACACCAAACCCAGTTTGGATGCTGCCTCAGAAAGCAACTGTGTATGTAGGCAACAGACAGTGAGGCAGCCCACTAAGTGCTGGAACACAGCCATGGTGTCAGGTCTACACACTTTGAAATTTGAATAGGTTCACTTTTGTACCTGACTGATCCTTAAGGTGATAATCTGAGTGTTGGCCTAATTAACTATTTGGCTGTGAAGCAATTAGGCAGTCAAAACGAGTTAATCACCGCTCAGTACCTGCTGCTTTGTACTACTGGCAGCATCAAACTCTAAATAGAGAATGGGAACAGAAGAAGCAACAAGAACCTCATGGGCACTAATTTTGGGATCACATCAAGTCATCAAATGCAACAAATTGTTGCCAAACATACTAAACAGAGTATGAATAAATGCTAAACATCAGGCAAAATAAGAAATATAGGACCACTGACATACAAAACTGAAAAATAAAAGCTTATGCATCATAGAATGATCTTTTCAACATGTTAAACACAGCTTGAAAATTCCCATTTGAGGTTTGACTATTAACTTTATTTAACCTTATTTAAGAAAATAGCTAAGAACTGATGTATCAGTAAAAATAGGTATGTCTGAGTTTCTGAATAATAAAAGAGAAAAAAAACTTACTTACTGCAATTAAAGGGTCATTAAATTCATTTCACCTCCAAAAGCTTTTTTTATTCCTTTTTATGACAGTTGAGACTAATTACCAGTTTTCCTGCCGTAATAATAAATGAAATGCAAGCATATATAGCATATTGTACAGGCTGAAGAATCAATGGTTTAACAAAAGCAGCTTAAACCAAGAATCCAGCGAGCGCAGACAGCAAAGCATGACAAATAGAGATCTGTAAAGACAACAAGGACTGTGATTGTGCTTCAGGGGCTCAATCTCACAGAAAATGAGGCTTTATTACCATTAATTTTCACTGTATTACATTAGCTGTGTCGAGTTTCCATCTCACATTCAGCACCTCCTGCATGATAAAATAGTTGTTCATGTAATGAGGCTAAATAATAATCCATCTCAGAAGGTTCTTGCTGCAAACGCGTCGCATCAGGCCTCATTGTGTTAAACAAGAGCAGGGGAAATTTTGTAAAGCATAGTATAAAAAAGGATTTGACAAGATTTTCTGACACCAGTGTGTTGATATGCATTTAGTGGTTGCTGCGATGTTGGTGGTTCCTTACTGACTCAAATCAGATATTCTGGTTCTTTGTTTTTTTTTTGTTTTTGTTTTTTTGCCAGTTTTATCACCTGTCAGGTGAAATTAGTAAGTCTGCTTATTAACAAAAGAAATAGCACATCTCCTATACAATTTGAAGCATTATTAGTTTCCATTTCAAAAATAATAATGGGGAAAAAAGACAAGTAGCTTCACAAACATTACTAATAACGTTATATCATTAAGACCAATTGACCAACCACTCATTCCACCCACTCACTAGATCTAATTAATATCATTTGATGAAGAGGGTGGGCACCCAGGATGTGTTTACTCTGCAGGTCACTATGTTTCATTCCGGCTTTGAAAGGCAAAGAGAATGTCACAACAGTGATGCTATTGTTAACTAAATATAAAAATAAATAAAGCTGAAATAAAACTAACGTAAATAAATAAAGTTCTAAAAGCACTGAAACTGAAAAATGAATGATTTAGTTACTGTATATAAAAACATAAAAAGAATAGTAATAATAAAATGGCAGAAACACATAGCAAAATTTCTGAAACCTCAGCTAAAATTAAAATAAAAACCAAAAATAAAGCCAATTCAAAATATAAAAAAAAAACAATGTATAAATAATACTAAAATAAAACTGCTTTACAATAGCTTTGTTTCAAATCCTAAAAAAAAGAGACCTCAAACGTTTGAACAGTAGTGTGTATATCACACAAATCACAAATAAGCTGAAGTACAAAAATTGCTCAAACTAATACCAAAAATGACAGGTATATATCAAAATGACCAAAACTTTACTAAAATGAAAACTGAAAATATAAAAATACAAGCTATAAATCAAAATGCTATAATAATATATAAATAATATTACAATAACGGTAACAAATTAGTTTAAGGACCAATTCCTTAAACTAGTTGTTTGTTAGCATGCATATTACTAGCATATTGGCTGTTTATTAGTACTTATAAAGCACATATTAATGCCTTATTCTGCATGACCATATTTTAGATCCCTTACCCCATACCTAATCTTTACAACTACCTTACTAACTATTAATAAGCAGCAAATTAGGAGTTTATTGAGGCAGAAGTTAGTTAATAGTGAGAATCGGTCCCCAAACTAAAGTGTGACCAAAATAACACTATTCTCATTTTAAGGTATCAGAAGCACACGCCTGACACAAACAGTACACACTAGGCAGAAAATGATGTTGCCTTCAAAGAAACCTTGATTTGGCCACATTCTAAAACATTAGAGGGTAAAGAGGATTTGGAGCTGACAAATGCATTTAACACTGAATACAGTTCAGTGTAATTAAAATGGAATATTTCACTCAATATTAGTGTGACTCTATGAGGTGGAAAAAAAGTCCCACTTACTTTCTCCATAATAGCATCTAAACTTTTCAAGAAAGACCAATCATGAGCTCTGAGGTGATTTACCAGTTCTGTATGAAGAAAAATGTAAAACTGGGCAGTCGCTGTTTCTCAGAGTGCTATTTGTGCAACATCTGAAGCTCCTTTATTCATGTAGAGTGTTTCAAATCAGTCACTTTGCAGTTACACTCCAGTTAGGATGCTGTCTTAGAAGGCAGCTGTCTATGTTGGCACCAAACATGAAGGTAGATCACTAGAAAGAGAACTACAGTGGTGTCTGCCGAGTCAAAATCTATTATAATTTATTGCAAATAAGCAAACACTGTTCACAGAGCTGCAGAGAGACATATAACAGCATGCATTTCTCCAATTATGTCACAGACTTAATGACTGCGTGATGTGCTTCCTCCAACGGTGGGAGGGAGCAGAACTGCTGTCGCTTCCCAAGGCTAATCGTCTTTGGGAAAAGCAAGAATAAACACAATCCCTACACAATGGGCTTCACCGAAAACAACAAAAGATTTCACTTTTATGTCTTCTGACTCCCCCACAGGTTCAGAAAGAGGATTTCGAGACTGTGGTGGTCTGCGAACGTGAAGAGCCGTGACATGAAAAGCTCCAAAATATACAAAATTAAAGGTGCAGCAGGCCGTTTTGTAAAATATGTATCTTGAGAAATTACACCTTGATTTTAGACTCCACAAACCTTAAAAAATTAAATACGTTTTAAAAACGTATTTAAAAATAAGTGTTTTTTTGTGTCAATATACCGGAATAAACTATTTTTTTTTATTAAAATCTAATAATTTTTTTCCCTAATCTTCCTTGAATTTCCAGAGAAGCAACTCATTTGTGATGTATACCAGTATGATGTAATATTTTGGTGATACTACCATCTGCCCACACTGGGGTCATTGTGAGAGGATCAGGCCTTAGAATGACAGAGCAAAAAAAGAAAAACAGAACAACAGAGAAAAAAAAGACAGAACAATAGATAGAATGGTAGATACAGACAAAATGATAGATACACAGACAGAATGATAGAACAACAGAACGATAGATAGAGAAAGAATGACAGAACAATAGATATAGAATGATGCAGACAGAACAACAGAATAGCAGATACTGACAAAATGATATAGATAGATAGATAGATAGATAGATAAAAAGAATGGTAGAATGATAGATAGAATAATACATAGAACAACAGATAGACAGAACGACAGAATGATAGAACGATAGATACATAGAATGATAGAACAACAGATAGATAGAACGATAGAACGATAGATAGATAGATAGATAATTCACATTTCTTTTATAGTTCTATACTCATGCTCTGTTAACAATTCATACATTTGTTTTAATTTTCAATCCTGATTTAAAAAGGAATGTTAGGAAAAACAACTGAGCTGAAGCGGATGCATAAATGAATCACAACTGAGGACTCCATGAAATCTCCTGAGCTCTGAATCTCTGATCAATTGTGCTCAGATCAGTCTGTTGAATAAGAGCAGG